GGACTTTAAAAATAAAATGCTTTCAATTAGTGCACATTTTTAAGCTATACTATGCTTAGTGGGCTATGGTCCAGTCTCTTTAAGAAGAAAGAAAGGTGTAACATCTAAGAGAAGGTTTCTGTGCAGCCTTTAGGTGCTCAGCAAACACAACGTGAACACGAGCCCCCTTGATAAATAGCTACCACAAAACATTACAAAGATTTGTGATTAAACTTTCTTGCCTTAGATTTTCAGGCATTTATTGTAGTGCTTTATGCCTCTGTGCTGAATAACTTGGTAAGAACTGTTAAAGTTTTCAAAAATTAAAATTCGATGTTTAATACTCCAGGAACTGGTTCAGATGGAAAGCCAATTTTCCTCCAAGACATTTGGCCCTCGAGAGAAGAAATCCAAGCAGTGGAAAAGGAATTTGTTGTTCCATCCATGTTCCAAGATGTGTATTCCAGAATTACAGTGAGTTCCTAAATTAGATTGACTTTTAGAGTTTGAATCAGATGGCTATATTATATTTGTTTATGTAATGATTAAAAGTTGTATCTTAACTTGTGGATCTCTTTATGAAATATTTCAGCAAGGTACCACAAGATGGAATTCTTTGGAAGCCCCAGACAGTAGCCTGTACCCTTGGGACGAGAAATCTACCTACATTAAATCTCCACCCTTCTTTGATACAATGGTAAGATAACAAACATTTGAATTCTGTTTTATTTTAAATGAGATAATATCTTTTATTTCTTTTATGCTTGGAATCAAGAGCCCTGGACCTTAAATGATAAACAACATTTTTTGTATTGTTAAGAATGGTTGAATTTTAAAAAATGTCATAGTTTAAGATTTAATAAAGATAAAAAAAAAATAACATTGACACATTGCTATGTGGATAAAAAAAAAGTGACTTTATAAGTCACAGAGGTTTGATGTCATATATGATGTTTTTGAGACATTTATACTTAGAGAGATGTTCATTATTATAGAAACCTTTTTTTATTCAGTTTATGTCCCCTAAATCTTTAAAGGCTGGCTTTAAGCCAACACAGTAATAAAGAAATATCATACTTTTAAGGTCATGTATTGAAATGAGATTTCCCTTTCAGACCTTGCAATCTAAGGGGCAAATGATGTTAAGGTCATCTGTTTCTATGGCCAATGGTTTACTAGCAGGGTGTCATGTGGCCAGCACAATGACCAACCTCCATTACTTTTCCCAACTAAAGTCAGGAACCCTTCAGAGTTGTGTGGATTCAGAGGCGCCATAAAAATCCCAAAACTCTAAATCCCAGTTTGACCTAGATTTAGAAGCCGAACCACTCAGCCATCTCGCACCCAATTTATTAAGATAGCTATTATATAATTTGGTACTTACCACATCATTCAGTTGATACATGACCTGAAACTGAATAATAAATCCAGCTGACTTCTTAGGTATAGTGCTATCTACTATAAAAGTACTGGTATAAGTAAAAATTGCACAGATGGCTAAACAGTTCTACAGTTACTTCTTTTAGTTGACATTTTTGTCTAGACACTGTTGCAATTCTCTATTTAGTTTATGTAGTTCACATCTTATTACTTCTTTTAATTGACATTTTTGTCTAGACACTGTTGCGATTCTCTGTGTATTTAGTTTATGTAGTTCACATCTTATTACTTCTTTTAGTTGACATTTTTGTCTAGACACTGTTGCAATTCTCTGTCTATTTAGTTTATGTAGTCACATCTTATTACTTCTTTTGTGTCCAGGAGAAAGAAGTGCCTGAAGTGAAACCAATAGTCAACGCTGCAGTCCTGCTGAACTTTGGCGACTCTATAACCACTGACCATATATCTCCTGCTGGAAGTATTGCTAGAAACAGTCCTGCTGCTAAATATCTGGCCTCCAGAGGGTAAGGCTAAAGCTAGTATGAGATTATACATGTATACTTGTTTTTATTAGGATATTATTTAACTGTTTTAGAAAGTGCCTTGTTGAATGCCTTGACAATGAGATGCCCCACTTTTATCAATTCTAAGCATGAAATGACCATTTAATCCTATTACCAGGTTGTCTTTCCACATAATAGCTTGCAAATTAAATCTTATACACTTTTGATTTTAGTTTTATAGTGACAATCCCTAAAAATAAATATTACTCTATTAAAAATTTTTTTGTGTGTGGTAAGTAGGAAATAGAATTAACATTTTTTATTTTAAAATTGTTCTTTAACTGCAGTGTTATACAAGTTGAGAACTTAAATTTTTTGCTTTTATTAAAACTATAAAAATATATGGTTATTATCTATATGCATTAATTGACAGAGTTGTTTGTTTTCAGACTTGTACCCCGTGAATTCAACTCTTACGGGTCCCGCAGAGGTCATGATGAAATTATGGCTCGTGGAACTTTTGCTAACATTCGTCTAGTCAATAAATTTCTGTCCAAGCCTGGCCCTCGTACTTTATATCACCCAACTGGCGAAGAGGTGAGGAACAAAGCTTGAGAAAAGATTAGACATCTTGGTTTGAAAATATAATAATAATATGAAGTTATTTTTATATATAAATTAAATATTATATTGTATACAAATTTTTTTTAGCTCTATAAAACTCATTTCGTTTTTTGTGACCATTTCATTTGAATAGATACAATCTTTTTATTTGTTTGTGGTTATTAATTATTGCTGGTTACTGATGAAAGCTAGACGGATTTTGTAACATTTAAAAATGCACACTGCTATATACTAAATACTTATGTCAGTTAACATTATTTTAAAGGCTATATTAATAATTCATCTTTTTCATAATAATGATAATAATCTTTATTATCCTTGAGGAAATTTGTTTACAATTGTGCATTCCAAAAAAAAAAAACATGATTAGAGCAAAAATTTGTACAATAGCTTTTTATGTTGGGTTTTTAAACTTGACATAAGTTAAATTTATATTAATATAAATTCTCTGTTTTGTTTTCCAGATGGACATATTTGATGCTGCACAGCTGTACAAACAGAATAACTGCCCACTTGTGATTCTGGCCGGGAAAGAGTATGGATCAGGTTCTTCTAGAGATTGGGCAGCCAAAGGACCTTGGATACTTGTGAGTTGTCTTTGAGTAATTTTTTTAGGCTTTTGGTAATTACTTAATGGCATTAAATGAAAAAAAAACAAAAAAACAACTCAATAATTTCAACCCTGCTTATTAGCTTAAAGCAGTTTTTATGAAATTAAATTTTGTAAAAGCTTATTCACAATCAGAAATTAACTTTAAAATGAATATATGTGAGAAATAGGGTTTAAAACAACATACTTTCATTTGAGTCATTATTTCATTGACCAGGGTGCCAGAGTTGTCATAGCTGAGAGCTACGAACGCATTCATCGCAGCAACCTGGTCGGCATGGGTATTGTTCCTCTTCAGTACCTGGAAGGGCAAAATGCTGACAGTCTGGGTATAACTGGGAAAGAAAAATTCACCATTAAGTTGTCCAGTGACCTTCAACCTGGCCAGATAATTACAGTTGAGGTGAGCTATATTTGTTATATTTAAATATCTTCTTTTAATTCTATGAACATTTATTTGAGGTCGGCTTGTGGCTCGTTGGATAGATGCATTATCCAAAAGGATTTTAGTATCCAGATCCACATAGTTGGTCTATGGTATAATGCCAAAGTGTTACATTTAGATATCCATGATAACAGCTCGGTAGTATTATACTAAGGCTAGAAAGATTTTAAAAATAAATATTTTAAGATTTTACTATCATAAAAGAGGTAAAGATACTGTTTACAAAAACAAACAGACACTAAAACTCCTTTGTTCTCCTTGCAATCAATTCATTGAATAGAACTGATCTATCCAATGTAAATATTTTCCATGTTATGTTTGAGTGGAACTAGTGTGAATGTATATTTGTTTCAATAGTTATAATGTATTTTTAATGCACAAATTGTAAGACAAATTTCCTGATGGATAATAAAGATGATTATTTTTATTCTTATTATTATCCACTTATGACACCAAACTCAACTATTTCTTCAATAGTATTGTATCTATAGGCTGCACACCTTTTCTCATCCTCACCGTGGTGTTTGGGTGCAAAGATGATTAGGCCATTAGGAAAGCAAAAAAGCCTCTGTTGGGATGCCTAAGAACCATTGTAATGGAAGGGATGGAAGAAAGCCCCAATAAGCAGAAAAGTAACATGGGGTAGTTTCTCCTGTGTGCTCAGCCATTGACCTTGCTTTTAATATGATATGAGACATTAGTGATGGGGCTGTATTCATTTACATGTGCTTGGATCTTTCCCTGACACAAGTTTGTTCAGACAGGCAAATGGATAGAAGTCCTACTTGTATCCATGTGTCAATCTAGTGGGAAGCGTGGTCGAGAGGCTAAGTGCGCTTGAACTTAGCTTGGCTTGGCTACTTATGAAAGGGGCTTGAGGTTCGACACTTGACTCGGGCAGAGTTGTGTCTACTGAGCGCCTAAAGGCAGCATGGAAAAACTTTCTCCTAGATACCCCCTCCACAACTGAGATTGGACCAAAGCGCCCTGAGCATGCTATAAGCATGAAAGTAGCGCTATATAAAAGCCATAATTTATTTATTTTTTATCTTATAAAGTCATGCATGTTGGGAAAATAACTCCATTAATTAATTTTCAAGAGTCAAATTTATTGAAATTAAGATGTTTCTTTTTTAATTTTCCAGCTGGATAATGGAAAATCTTTCCAGGCAAAACTTCGGTTTGACACAGAAGTGGATCTGACCTACTTCCGTAATGGAGGCATATTAAACTACATGATTCGCAAAATGCTGTAGTGGCACGTTAGTATAGGAGCTATTCAGCATTCACATGTTATTTTGGTAAATGTTCTAATATGTACTTACATGTTCCAATAAACTGTCATTTAAAAACTTAACTTACATTTAAAGAAAAGGCATTTGCAGCATCCAATTTAACTTTTGACATCAAAATAATTGTATTAACGAAATTATATATATATATATATATATAAACACACACACACACACACATATATATATATATATATATATTTATAACATTTATTGTTTTCATGTAACGTTATGTCATATAAGGAATACTTTAAATTTTTATAATGCCCCTACAAACAGGATAAGAATTCAAGCATTGTAGTGAAAACAATGTTTTACCTCCACAACTCAAATCAAAGTGTTATAAATGTAGTTTGAAGTCTTTTTCCCTTTTCTCAATCATTCTTTTCTCTCTAAATGTGGCATTATATTCTCTTTCTTTTTTTGTGATCAGATATATGTTAGTTCACTTTGTTTCGTTGTTTTTCTGTTCCATAAATTGCATAAATTGTAGATTAAAAAAAAAAGAGGTAACTAATGGACAAGAAAGCAGGTACGCTAGAAAAGAAGAAAGCATATGTTTTGTTAAAAAGTTTCTTCTGCAAATTTTTTAAGTAACAAGCAATGTACGGAGACTGAATATAGTAGAAACAGATAAAATTAAAGCAAAATAAACTCTAATGCTATGATATCTTAAGGATGGAAATTGTTTCTCTTCCTCTTTGTCCATTTAAGTCTGTTATTTTTCTTTCTGATGCAATTTATTTTTTCCCTTTCACTGCTCTCTTTGTTCATGATGTCTATTCTTTAGGCTTGTCACTGCGGTCAAAATAAAATTCACTTGAGCTGTTTTAACTGTCAGATTCTTTTGTAAATTGTATATACTGTAGGGAAATTCCATAATTTACAAAGATGCTGAAATTGATTGATATGAGCATGTTAGTCTGCTGTAAGAGGACTATTGAATATGTAAGACTTTGATAATCAGAAAGTTTAATTGCATAACAATTAATGTATTTAATCTATGTTAAGTCCTCCACGATTTTAAATAATTATTTTATGTTATATTTTAATGTTTGTTTTCTTATATACTATTTTAGTTTTATTTTTTTTGTTTGTTTTTTTAAAATTATAGAAACCAATGTGGTATGTTTTAAACAATGTTATGACATGCTAGATATGATTCCAATGTTATGAAATGGATAGAATGTTCTACTTTTGATTGTATTTCAAATGCATGAAATAATAAAAGAACTGTGTAAAGAAAATGTCCAACTTTTGTTCTGTCATTAATGTTATGTAAGCTGTCCTTCTAATTCACAGTGGAGCATAGGTCCACAACAGTACTTTATCACTCGGCCACCGTGCCTACAATATCACTTGTAGTAGTAATACTCATTTAAAACTTGTAAATGCTGTAAACAATATGTTTTAATCTAGGTGTCACAGTAGGCATCATCGTAATTACATTAAAATCATCTGCCCCATAGATTGCAAGGTCTGAAAGGAAAACTTTACTCTTATTAGTTGGTGTTGCAGTGTTATTTGGAGATCTGTTAGCACAACACACTGCTTGGATACAATTAAGTAACTTAGCGATGGATGTAATTTTCTTGAGTTTTATGCTTACATACTCAAAAAAAAAAAAATGAGTAATCCAAAATAAAAAATCACTTGTACATTGAATATAAATTGAATAGAATATTCTATGGCTCCTTCTGTTTCGAAAGATGATGGATGCACCCAGATGAGTCACTGGCTTTGGTTCGTCTTGAGACAGAATCTGGATGACTGATCAAGCCAACTCTGGAGTGGCAGAGTTTGCCACAGTTCGTGCATGTATATGCATCTGTTCTAGGCTAGCTGACAGGGCAGCTTTCTTTTTATTTCTCTTGACAGATGCAGCTTCGTTTCTTTCTATTATAGCTGAAATAAAACACAATGAAAATACAGATGAACAATAATCCAACTATGAATAAGCACTCCTAAATAATCCACTTCGAATAATAACTAACGACTGTGAACAGTGACCAACCAAAACCTGATAGCTAGTTTCACTTATATACTAGTGAACATCGATCTTTCTGTCAGGAATATGTCAGTTCTATCAGCTTCCCATAATTCCACATTGACCCTACATCTTGTCCTCATCAACACTTCTTAAATACAAACTACCAAAAAAAATAAGTTGCAACCTTCCATCTACAGAAGACAATGTTGCTACTTAGTGATTGGCCTACCCTTCAGGAAAGAAAGCTGGCAAAAAGCTTTTAATTGTATATTTATTTTTGTTATGATTAGAGACATTCTATTATGAACTCTAATTCATATCATTGCATTAATTTTTTTACAATTTTGTCCTCTCCCTCCATTCTGCGCAAATTTAATAATAAAACGATTCATCGAATCGAATTAAAACTGCTACACATTTTTTTCATCACAAAATAAAAACCGGAAGTGTAATGGCGAATGCCACAACATAAAGTAATTGAAATAAAACATCTACTTATCGTAGATAAATTTAGGAAATTAATGATCGCATTAATGACTAAGCATTATTTATCAAGATAATTACAATAATAAGGATAGTTTTTTTTCCATAAAACTTGACCATGATCAAAGCAATTTTAGTTTTTAATAATCATGGCAAACCTCGACTGAGCAAGTTCTATCAATTTTATGTAAGTACAACTTAGGAAAACGCCCACTTACTTCACTTACTGACTTAGCATTTCGTTTAAACTTTGAAATCATTTATATATATTCTAGATCTAGATAAGTATAGTCTAAATGTGCTCCTTTTAGATTATTATAACGCAACAACTACCTTAAACTAGTTTTATAAAAACTGGGTGACAAAAATCTTTGGCTTTAATCCTTTACTTTTAGTTTATCATTTGAATGTTTAAAAACTTTAAATTTTAACGAATAAGTCCTCAATTATTGAGTCAGAAGAAAAAGTCTTTAAAATATCTAAAGAAAAGCTGACTAGACAACATCAAAGAATGGACTGGCCTCTACACTTTTAATATACTGCTAAAAGACTAAGAACAGATGCTGACAGAAAAAAAATGAAGGGATTTGGTTACATGAAAATCATGAACAGTCACAGCACCCCTATATCAATAGTCAAGTTACACATGAGATGAGAAGATTATATTTAGAAATAAAATTACTGTTCATTCATTTATTTCAAATTCACTGTGAGTAGTAGTAATTTATGAATAGCTATCCATGGGATAAATCTATATATGACCAAGATCTCGTCTACTAGATGTCTAATGTCTTAAAATGATTTATGACTTAAATTTTTTAAAAATAAATATTTTAATACTATATTAATTAACTATTCATCTTATGTTCGTATAATATCCAACCTTCACTTAAAAAGTTTGTTTGTTTTTTATAAAGTCTTGCCTTATAATCAAATTCTGTCTGACATTTATTTTAGCCTGAAGATCTTCAACATCAGATTATAAGAGAAACATTCCATCTTGTATCCAAGAGAGATGACAGTGTCTGCAATTTCCTTGAGGGAGGAACGTAAGTAAGACTTTGACTAAATAAGATGTTGTCAAATCAGATTAGCACTTAATGAGATGTCAAGTCAGATTCGCACTAAATTTGACTAAATGAGTTGTCTTGTCAGATTTGACTAAATGACATGTTGTTAAGTCAGAGTAGCTTTAGTGATGTGATATATAAACCTCTATTATTGTAGCTGAAATTAACTATTGAAGTAAAAAATAAAAAAAAAATACACAGAAAGTCTACTGCATTTCCATAACAAATCTTAAAACTGACTAAAATATTTACTCCTTTGATTGACCCAAAAAATTCAAAAATTTTAATTTTCCTTTTTTTTTTCAGACTTATTGGTGGGTCAGACTATAAACTAATCTATCGACATTATGCCACTTTGTATTTTGTCTTTTGTGTTGACTCATCTGAGAGTGAGTTAGGAATATTAGATCTTATCCAGGTTTGTCTGTTTGATTCTTTTGTTTCAGAATAATATTTAACAATTTCAAAATGATTACGATGGAAAAGCTGTTAAGCTCAGACAGGGCTTCGTTTTGTAGCTTTGAATTTCTATAAATAATTAGTAATTTCTGATCTGTTTTTTGTTTTTAAGTTCAATCCTGAATAGTCCATATCTTATCTTCAGGTTTTTGTGGAGACCTTAGATAAATGTTTTGAAAATGTCTGTGAGCTGGATCTGATATTTCATGTTGACAAGGTTAGTTGAGGGAAAAAAGTATTACTTATCTTAGCATTTCTCAACCAGTGACTTGATCTTCTCCCTTCCAATTAACATCCTGACAAGGTGCTAGTATAGATGGTGATCAAGGGAAAGAAATCAGTATTTGCATTGTAGTAATAAATTACATATGTATTTTCCAACCTTCAAGTTCATTATGGATGGCTGCCTGGTCGTGCGGTTAGCTTGCTGGACTGTCGTTCGAATTTGTCGAGGGTTCAAACCCTGCCCACTCCCATCCCCCGTCATCCTGCGGGAGGTTTGGACTAGCAAGTAAACTATCTTCAACTCTGAAGGAACATCCGAAACATGTAAAACATTTTACAAAAACAAAACATTTTACAAACATTACAGAGATGTAAATTGGATTCACCTGCCTCAAATGTTTCTCACGCTCTGCCCTTCTTGTCTTTCTCTTTGACTTTCTTTGACCTGCACAGTTATGCAATGTTCGCACTAAAAGACATTTCTTCGGTTCCACATGCAGGAATTGTGCTATATACTCTCAATGCAACCCCAGATTCCTCTACCCATAGCTGTAAAAGAGAGGGTACGGACATTCCATTTCTTAATATTTTTTTTTTGGAGGGAGAGGAGGGGCAGGAGTAATTGGAAACCAACTGGTTGACAAAATATACCTAGGATATTTCATTTTCATTCATAAAAATAGAATATAGTATTGTTCGTACCACTATAGTGTCTGTATATAATGTAGATTATTATGAAGTTATACTGCAAACTTATTATTATAATTTTCTTAACTTTCCTTAACTAGAAAAAAAAAACAGAACTAGAGAATGATTTAAAGCCAAAGTAATCAAATGCATAATCCTGTCATGACTTTTCAGGTTCACTACATCCTGTCTGAACTAGTTATGGGGGGCATGGTCCTTGAGACAAACATGACAGAGATCATCACAAGGATAGAGGAACAGAACAAGCTTGAGAAGCAGGAGGTATGTCGTACAGTAGCAAACAAGCAATACACTCTAAGTTTCCTTGTTAAATAGTAAAGATATTTATATTTATGTAGCAGATAGATCTCCCTCTTGCATACTTTAATGACCTATTATCTTTTGATATTGTGTTGAAAGAATTAGAATCCTATAAGCCTCTTTCCTTTTTTTTAAAACTTGATTGTTAATTAATGGCAATGAATGAAATGCATCCAAAGTTCATACCTTGTTGTGCGATGCACAATTATTTAAGAAAACGATGTAGTAGTGAAATTTTTGTGTGACCCTAAATAAGGTAATTTATACAAAAAAATAGTTGTTTTCATGTTGTTAAATTTTGTGTGCGCATACTTTACTGTTTTAATCAGCATACTTTAAGAGCTTTCTGGCACTTAATCAATTAATAATTTTTAAGCCTTTCAGAATCTATAATTAAAGTTATTAAAACGAAAAATTGTGTTTTTGAATTGTAGATTATGGCTTCAGTTTAGTAAACAAAAAATATTTTATGTTTATTAGCTTGTGTATTAGCTAATTTATGTTTAGTTAACATGTTTTACTTACATCTTGAAAATAAATTGAAACATTTTTCATAAAGTAGTTTCACTTTGTAAAGCTAATATATCATTCAGAGATGTCTATAATTTGGCTATCAACATTTGTAACTGTTAATTAGATTCTGATACAAAAAAAAATGTATTCTTCTGTTTAGTTGACAATGACTTTGATGCTGACATTTAAACTTATTTAGTCCAGAGAAAATCTGTTTGGAGTCCTGCACAGAGTAGGGGGGAATGCTGGCATTTATGGAAAGACTAGTGACCCAGAGCTGGATAGCATTCAGGGTCTTGAGAGTCACTCATCTATCTTTCTGCCAAAGGGGGTACGGCTGTAAAGCAAAAAAAACACACACAAAGTTAGGCAAGGTCCGTTTATTGTTTTCATTTCATTCACACCCTGCTCAACATCTCCTTTACTCCTTTAAAGCTTCGCTGTGCTCGCATTTCTAGAATCTGTGCATGAGGGGGGATAATAGAGCGAGAACCCTTGGGCCCAAT